CATCCCCCCTGAAATAAAAACAGTCAAAATCATCCCCCTTCTAAAATGAACATCTCCCCCGTTCCATCCCTTGTGCTATTTTATCAATGAATGCATAGGTCTATTGAGTAAAATACGTGAGAGGGCACGCACGTGCCAACTTAAAAAAAAAAATTACCTCAGTAAGCGGCATAGCAGGTGACGGTGTTGATGTGATTTTAAAATCATGGCCAAACGGCATGGACAGCTCGATCTGAGGGACTTTGGATTTAAAAAGGCAAAAAGCTGAAGCTCCGCCTAGTTGAGGTCAAAAAGAAACTATAGGTGCGCGCGTCCTGCTTAAAGGCGCCGCGTCCCAATTAGCCTACCTCTGATTTCATTTCAAGCAGGGATTGTACAAGCAAGTATTCGTCGTTTAATCGGATTGTAATTTCCTATTTTGAAAACATACTCCGAAAGCCGTAAATTATGTAAATTTCTTATGTTCTTATGAAACATTAAAAAAAAAAACATTTGTGAACTCTTGCAGCAGTGGTAAAGCTTAACTTGAAACTTTTGGGGTACCTTGAAACTGCATCATCGCGATTGCATCATGAATTGCCATTTGAATTTTTGTGCTTATAATCTTCCATACATCATCGGCCTAACAGCTGAGCGATACATCACAGGCATCGGCCCGCTGGGGAAACTGCGTTTCATTTAATTTATTAAATGCCTGATTATGCTCTTATTTATAACTTCTGGACATCCTTTACTCACAGTTGCGCAGAGCACTACAGTCTACTGTACAACAGGGTTCTTCAAATCTGGACCTCGATTCCAAATCCAGGCCTTGTTTTCAGTTTTCCCAGGTAATTAGTTTAATAATTACTGATTCTGATTGGTCAGAGGCTTCACACCTGACTGACAGGTAAAGGAAGGCTGGAAAACCAGCAGTGCTCAGACCTCGAGGACCGTGATTTGAATAACCGTGGTCTACAGTATCAAATATAATATTTTGTTTTGCATATATTACAATGAAAATATGACTTCATATACCGTATAATACAAACATGCGGTGGTATTGCCTTATTGTGAAGTCTGCCTCTGAGTATGAGGGCCCATATTCATACTCACCACCCATACTCAATAATATGGCCTTCTTTGTGTTTATTGCATTTGTTGTGCCAGTTTGCACAATGCGGTATATTGCCATTTCCTGTACACTTCCAATTGCACTATTGTCTGGTCTTGATTTGCATTTAATTAAATTTGCTGTAAGTCTTTCTATGCAAGTCACTCGCTCAGTTGCCCATGCCTAGTGTCAAATGATGTGACATTTGATTTGTGATTTGATTATTTGTTTAAAAGAAATCAATACTTAGTAACTCTGTCTCTACCAGAACTCCCCCAACCACAAGATCTTACGATCGACAAGGTGACACCCAACTCTGGAACTCTGAGCTGGCAGATACCAATGGAGATGTTGGACCAGGCAGAGCTGGTTACCTGTGACTTCAAATGGCTGAAGAAACACCTTAAGATGAAAGACAGGAGTGAGACCACAGAGAACCTGTCTCCGGGCAGAAAGCATGTGTTCAGTGTGGTCACAACTGGGAACGATGACAGCCAAAGCGAGTGTGCGTTTGCTCGTGTGTGTACAGGTGAGAAGATGTGCTTTGCCTTTCAGAGCTCTGGGTTTAAATGATGGGTATATTAACTTGTGTTTCCATCTTGTGTCCCTTTGGAGAGTAACATGACATGCACTGTTACTGATCTCTTTCCATATAAGTGAGAGCATCCACTTTAGGACAGAGATACTGAAAAAACCCTCTGAGACTCCTTCCCAAGTGCTGTAGCTGTTCACTCCGATGGCATGCAAGTCCAGAGACTTATTAGCCAAACCTGTTTTAATACCAATAGCTGCATTTTCTGTACAGTCAGATTATTTGTTGTGTTATGT